CCCTCAACCCCAGAACCCTAAAGTCCTAAATCCTAAACTTCAGGACCTAGGCAATAAAACCCTAAAGCCCGAAAACCCCGAACCCAACTTCCGAAAACACTAAGGCACTGACCGCTAAGCCTCTAATTCTGGAGTTTCGGGTGCGCTGAAACGCTGGGATTCGATCTAGAGGGCTCTGAATACCCTAAACCCTAAACCCTAAACCCTGCCAGGCTCCAGTCTTCCTATTCTGCGCTCAGTTTGTTGGGGCTAAGGCCCCAAAGTAGTTCCTTTGCGGGGTTTATATATGGAATCCTACAAGGTAATCCCGAGAGGAACTACTTTGGGGCCTTAGGGTATGCACGAGAGACTAGGTATTTCGTCGACCAGGATGTCAGGCTTTGAAAGTGTAGGACTTCGGCTTCGGGTTCAGAGCTCCGGGCCGTACCGTTAACCATTTTCAGAGGGGGCCGCAGCATCTACGACTTCTGACCCACTTGGGGCCGGATCCGCTGCGCAAGGATCCTGTCATATCCTGCTGCGGCGGTTTAAGTGAAGAAGGTTGCTCTTCATCAGGATCTGTGGCTTAAGGTATACTAGGCTGCTCAGTAACCCACTGGGAAAAGTATATACTTTTTTAGGCGTCTTATTTTATAATAGGAACCCAGAAACCTGAAAGTAAAAATGTGTACCACTGAACAACCTGGTATAGTGTCTAGGCAAGTGGGTTTCGGGTGTGGTTCCTATTGGACTCTGCACCCGGCACTGAATCGTAATCCAGCAGCCATATGCTTCTGTATGCTACCGTTCATCAAACCGCCCATCAGCCCTGATTACATCCTTAATCTGACCCTGGAAACCGGCTGTCAACCCCGTGTTAAAACCACAAGCCCCTTAGACTCAATCCTGGAAACCCTCGTCAAAACCGGGTGGAGACCATACATGCCTTAAACTCAAACCTAAACCGGTTCAAAGCGTGAAACTCAACGTTGCAGCATAATTTCAGCAACCCCCGCGAGAAGCCTGGAAAAAGCGTAAATCCCTGAAACAAACGTTAACGAGGCATCGGCTTCAACAGCCCAAAAAAAATACTTGTCGTCAGGGTTCTATTTGAAGCAGTACGGAAAATTAAGAGTTATCCCAAATACCTGGCCGATGTTGAGCAACCCACAGGCTCAGACTGCTCACGTTCCGACGAAGTCAGAGGCCCTGCCGCGAGCCTCACTTCCTTCCTGAACCCTCGAAACCCTAAACGCTGGGTTTGGGGGATTTAGGGAGGGCATAACCTTTGACCCTAAACCCCAAACCCCAAACCCTGGACCCTAAAGGGTTGTAGACTAGTCGGGTTGCACTTATCGGCTCTTTGAAGGTGCAAAAGGAGGAGCTTCGAGTCTACAGCTTTGGGGATCCAGATTACACCTCAGCCTCAGGCCGAGGCTAGACCTTAAACCACAAACCTAGGACCTTGCAGTGAAAGCCTCAACCTGCGCGCTGCGTAGGGCATATACTACATACTATGGACTAAATGCTAAAGACTTTGGATTATTGACGAACCCTAAATCTTAGCCTGTCAATCCTTCACCCTAAAACCCGAACCCAAACCTACGAATACCTAGTCCTTATCGAACCCTTCTAGAGCCCTTAAAGGAACCCGGAGAACCTTCAAGACTGGCACCTGAGAGGCCGTGTCTAGGGCCTTGGGCTTCGTTCGGCGTGGCTTTCAAACCGCGGCTCAGCGCGGGCCGGAGGACCGGAAATTAGAGTTACCATGAGGGTTTTATGGGGTTTCGTAAGAGTTTTATCAGGATTTGGGGCTTGAGGTCCGAGATTAAGGTTTCAGGGTGTAGGGTGTCGCGCTTCAGGTTCGTATGATTCTACTGATTTCCTATGCGGCTGGGAGGTGTTCAAACTAGAGTTTTCAGGAATGTCTACGTCTAACCGCGAAACATAGGGCTCAAAATTCACCGAACTTTGAGCGGGCTTGACAAGGCTTCACCCCAAACCCCTAAACCCTAAACCCTACACCCTTAACCCCAAACCCCTAAACCCTAAACCCTTAACCCCAAACCCTAAACCATAAACCTCCGAAGCCTTCTACCTTGGGCCGTCGTAGGGCTTGGACTGACAAGGATCCGAGTGGCGGGTCCAGAGGGGGCAAACGGTTTAGAGTTGAGGGACGAGGGTTTCGGGTCCAGGTTTAGTGCGGGCAGGGGATGGCAGGGGCTTAGGGATTAGGGTGAAGGGATTGATCAGGGTTGTTTTGTTTTAAACGTTCAAGTGTTAGTCGGAAGACCTGTCAGATCGAGGCACTTGTTTTAAACTGCTCAGGGTTTAGGGTTTAGGGGCTCAGGGTTTACGATTTCGGTTTGAGGTTTTGGGTTTCGGGAACCCCAATCTTCGCAGTAGCTGCTTCGGCTTCTCGGATGCTGTGATTTCTCATGTTGAAACACCACAACCTACACCTACACCGTAAGATCTTTACAGAACCTGCTTAGAAGCCTGAAAGTCACAACCACTGTAGACTGCAGGACCATTTACAGAACCTTAAACCCTAAAGCCTCAACCCTAAACTTCTACTCCGCTACTTTGCGTCCTCTGCGGCCTCACGGACTTGCTGCGACGATGGAAAATGCGAGCACGGGCCGCGGGACCACTGGCTGTTTAGGGTTCAAGGTTTAGGGCTTAGGGTTTAGGGTTTAGGGGGTTTGTCGAAGCAAATACCTCAAAAGAAACTTGTTAAGACGAGTGAGTGGGATTCAAGCGGTTGTGCTGCATTCTCGTCCTCACCTGAAGCAAAAGCTGTTGGAATCCGTGTCGTGTCTTGTGGTGCAGCAAAACCGTTATGAAAGCCTTACAAATACATTCGATAACTGCATAATCCTCAGTGTAAGAGCCTTCATATCGACGATACAATCCCTACTTAAAGCTGTACTACCGAAGCCTTCATGATTAGAATAGGGTTTGAGGGTAGAATATCCTATGTCTATACACACACATATGTATATACATATATATATATATATATATATGTATGTATGTATGTATGTATGTATGTATGTATGCATATGTATATATATATATATATATATATACAAATTTTTAGAACAAGGAAAGCAAGGAACAGTGTTGGTACTTGTTTAGGTCGCTATATTAAAGCCCTAAGTTCTCCGCGGGCAGCAGTCGCTACGGCCCCGTCCGGACACGTGCATTGTAAGCTGTGCTGGCAGGGACCATGGCCAAATGCGCTGTCGAACTGTTAGGGTTTCGGTGTGGGATTTCGACCTTAGTTCAGGTTTTTGGGTCTCGGGTTTCAATTATCAAGATTTCGGATTTATGGTTGTTGTTGAATGTCTCAGCTTTGAGAATACTACTACACTGTCTTTTAGCCACATGTTTGTTGGTTCTGCTTTGGAAGCGTCCTTCATATGGATCTAGGTCATTTCATGTTCTTGAAACTTACGTAGTTCTTCCCATCTAAAACAAGGCCTGTAATAAGGATCCTATTCTAGGCAATTTAGGACTACATACGGGACCCTTGTTTGCCGATTACGGGACCCTTGTTTGCCGATTACCCTTTCGGGGTTTCGGCGTTCGTCATCGAAAGGGCACGTGTGGTGTGCTGACTGGGTTATGCTGGATTCCAGAATAATGAAGGCTTCGAAAGGTCTTTAATATTCAAGGGTTGGCATTATTCACGTTTCGGTGTGCTGATTTCACCTTGGTGCCCTGCTACGCTTTAAATCCGGGAGGGCCTCAAAAGAATTTAAGGCCGCAGGTTAGGGTTTAGGATGTGGGGATTTGCAGAAAGGGCCGGGAGACCCCCCCGAAAACGCGCCCTGCGACGCGCAGCAACGTCTGCTTCGCGCAGCTTCCTTGGCGATGGGATCGATGCGTCCGGAAATCTCTTGCGTAGCTTAGACGTACTGTCTGGCACTAGCTAGGCCCCATATTGCTTTGACTGCCCGGCTCGCTCTGTCTCTCTCTCTCTCTCTCTCTATCCTGCTCTTCTGTCTGTTGGTCAACAGGCTCTCTGCTGAAAGGCCTCTTCTGCTAGAACGTGATTTGCGGGTGGGCTCAGCCGTTCGCACGTTGGGATGAGGCCATTTTGACTAGAACTCGCCGGTATTTCATGAATAGCTTTGGGAATCCTCAGGACTTCGATTATGATGTATTCAGGCAGCCTAAACCCTGAACCCTTAACCTTAACTTACTAAAACACCGACCTACCCTAAACCGAAACTAAACCCAGAGAGAAAAAGAAAGAGAAAGGAGAAAGAGACAGAGAAAGAGGCAGAGACGGACTCCGGGACAAAGAGAAGGCGAGAAGGCCCCTAAGGCAGCCTCTGCTAAGAGTGGTCCAGTGGCGGAATCGGTTCGTGGGGGTCTCTCAGGATTCTACATGGGTTGCGTTTGATATGGGTTCTACAAAGGATTGCATAAGGCACAAGGCCCCTATGTGGGCCCTGCAGAAGGGGCTAAGGACTGGTGATAGAACCTTTGCAACTATGCTCATGTCTCACCGCTTCCTGGTAAGCAAGGCATGAAGAGCAAAAAGTCTCCAAAACGAAGGAACAGACTCAGAGGGCTCTCCAAGACAAAAAATTGCGGACTGAGTGATGTCAATTCGATGGCAGTCGACATCGGAATGACACCATGCGGACCTTTGGTAGTGCAGCTGCAACTGCTGAGCGTCCTTTGAAAAAAGCAAATCGACACCAACTTGAGCGTAGAATCCCTTAACTGTTAGATTTCCAACGACGCTTGTCGGAAAGCCGCCCTGCACTGCTGAACCCTAGAGACTCTGAATGCTCAAGCCGCTGTTTTCGCCTGTGAAAACTTTAATTTACAAAAACCCAACGAAAAACCCATAAATGCCGTATACGAGACCTTAAGCCCCATAAAACCCCAAACAAAACCGATCAACTAAATCGTCAAAAACGCTTTTCAAACAAACTAAACCCTACATAGACCCTATGTCAAGCACTAAACCACAGTTTGAAAGGCCGAAGGTTCGATCCGGCTCAATTGCCGTTCTTCGTTGTCACATTGACGGCCGCGCTGCTGTTGGCAGGCTTCCTAAAGAGCGTCGAGGGCTGTGTGGTAGGGGTTTAGGGCTGAGGGCTTAGGGCCTTGGGCCTAGGGGCCTTGAGGAGCAAAAAAAGCGGAGGTTTTTCTCGGGCAATCTAGTTTGAGGGTGAAGGTTGAGGGGGTTGGGGGATCTTGGGCTTGTGAGGTTATGGTGCAGGGTTTCTGTGAAAGCTGAGAAGGGTAGAGTTTACAGGTTATGGAGGTTTACGGTGGAGGCTTTAAGTGGTTTAGGAAGGGCTTTAGGTTTGGGGTTCAGGTTCGCTGTCAAAGATTTACGCTGAGTTTCGGGCTGAAGGCGTGCGGCAAACAAGCTTTAGTGGAAGGACCCTGCTCGTGGCATCTAAAGAAATACCATCAGACCTCAGACCGCAATCTGCGATAAATGTATGTAGGGTGCAAGGGCTTCGTTTTGCGGCTTAGGAGTCTCGGGGTTAAGGTGGGCCACACTCCAAACATCGGCAACACTTAAACCTCAAGCTTTCAGCGCTCCGAAACCCAAAACCAAAGTTTTGCTTGTGGAGCCCGATCAGAAGCCTGTTGAAACCCTCTATGACTGCAAACGCGTACGAGCACAACCGTTTTTTTTACAAAATATTGCAACCCTATTACAAGAACTCTACGCTAAGAACCCTTGAACAAAACCTAACAAAAATGACTCCCCACCCACATCCTTTCCATGAAACCCCATAAGACCCCCATTCCCAGAATCGATGAGTCAAACAACCAGATCGAAAAATCCACGCTACCTCCTAATAGTAATAATAGTAATACTAACAATAGTAATAATAGTAATACTAATAGTAGTAATAATAGTAATACTAATAATAATAATAACAATAGTAATACTAATAATAGTAATAATAGTAATACTAATAATAGTAATAATAGTAATACTAATAATAGTAATAATAGTAATAATAGTAATAATAGTAATAATAGTAATACTAATAATACTAATAATAGTAATGATAGTAATACTAATAATAGTAATAATAGTAATACTAATAATAGTAATAGTAATAATAATAGTAAGCCGAGCAGCTCTGGCTTCCATGTCCAGTCCTCCTCGAACGAGCAAGAACTTCCGAAGTGTTGGGTTCAGGATATATATATATATATATATATATATACATATATATATTTATTTATTTAAAAACTGGGTATATATATATATATATATACTTAAAAACTGGGTGTGTATATATATATATATATATATATTTATTTATTTATTTATATTTATTTATTTACTTATTTATTTGTTTATTTAAAAACTGAGTGCAGTCGCCTTTTCTCCAGGTCAGGGTTCAGGATTTGGAGGGTTTAGGGTTTAAGAGTTTGGGAGTGGCCAAAGATTTCTATGACGATCACCGTAAGGGTTGTTAGAATTACCAGAGCGGCTGCTAAAAACGGGTTACCAGAAAGGCTATGGCTTTATGGCTTCAGGTTTAGGGGTTTATAGGTTGCATAGAGGATTTGATCAGCACTCTTCGTATAGCCGAGCTTTTACGAGAGTTCTATGAGTTTTTCGGAGTTTCGAGTGCAGATGTTTAGTGCCTAAGAAATTTCAGAGCTTACGGGGCTAGGGTTGCGGCACATGGGCTATTTCTTAAATTGACCTGATTGGGGAGTTGACAAAGGTCAAAGTGGATCTACGGTAGGGGCCTTAATGGGTAGAATAGGGTTTTGGAGGTCCTTATTATAAATACAGTATATTATACCCCTAATATACACCCAAACCCTATTCTAATTAATAATACCCGATATTTCAGTGCCTTGCAAGCTTGTACAAGTATAGGATTGAGTGGGCCAGAGGGAACCTCGTACTGCACACCCCAACACCTTTGTATCGGGGCCTTCACACTTAGGCTGGCCTTTGGGGTACATTACAGCAAGATTCTAACAAGGAGCCCTAAGGAACAGCATTGCTACTTATTCAGACCCCTACATTAAGCCCTTGAACCTAGCCTAGAACTCTCAGGCCCCAAACCCTAAACCCTAAACCCCAAAGCCCCAAGCCAAGGCTGCACACGCCTTCAAGCCGACTTCGACGAGGTGGATGTGGAGCTCGCTGTTCAAGTCCTTAGTTGGCTCAGGGATTCCCAGGCTTTTAAGGGATTCAGGCTGAGGGGCTTCGAAGCTGAGGGGTTTGCGCATTGGTACAGGGTAGATGTTAGAAGGGGCCCCCACCCTGTAATAGTGGTATAATAGGAATACAATAGGGCCCTAATATAATCCTTCTAGTCACTATTACAGGGTGGGGGGGCCGATCCTAAGGTAGATGATGTAACGCAGGTCCTTCCTGGGACCCTCCGTTCTCTTGCAAGACATCGCTCCGAGACTGAGAGCCCTTAGAGGGGTTTAGGGTCTAGGGTATAGGGTTTAGGTAGGGTTTAGGGTTTAGTCTAAACCGACTCTAAACCCTAAACCCCAGAACATCTAGGTCCGCCTTCCAGCATCGCCATACTCCGCAGTACTTCCGACCACCAAAATCTAAGCCTGTAAACAAGAAATCCTTAACCCGAAGCCCAAAGCCGTAAACAATACAAAAAAGCACAACCTAAACTCTTAACCCCGAAACTCCACACTCTAAACCCCAAGCCCAAAACCCTCAAACCCACCCACCCCAAGCCGTAAAGGACCCCAAACCCAAAATGACCAACCCTTCCAGGACCGTCGCAATGTAGAAGTCTGAACAACTGCCAACATTACCTCCCGGGCTCCTTATTATAACTATACTGTTTAGGGTTTAGGGTCCCGAAACCCGACTCTCATAATTAAGGCCCCTAAGTTATAGAACCTCCGAACCGATTCATGGAGCCCTCTGAAGGAAGCCCGTAAAGGCACCCTACTCTCATTATCAAGGCCCGGATTCTAAACCCATTTTTCATCACCGCTGTAGTATCCCTTATAGAACCCTTTAAAGGAACCTCTTAAAGGAATCCTAGTCTACTTCCAGGCCCTGATAGTAGGACCGGTCGCCATGTTTACCGACTCCCAGGTACCCGTCAGCGTCGTACCTTGGACTTCAGCTGTCGGTGTAGGGTTTTGGGCTTTCGGGGCTTTCGGGGTTTAGGGTTTGGGTGTTTGGGGTTGGAGGTATTCTGGGTTTTGGGGTTTGGAGGTTTGAGGGTCTAGAGGTTTGCGGGTCTGGGGGTGTGGGGTTTAGGGCACAGGATTTTCAGTTGAAGGGTTAAGGGTCTAGGAATTAAGTGTTCAGGATTTGGCGTTTTTCGTGTATGAGGAACTTCCCGGGTTGGAAAGTAAGAGATCTATGCAGGAATTTCAAGTTCTATAAAGAGTTTCCTTGGTGCTTATGGCTTCAGGGCTGTAGGGTCTAGGGATTACGGTGTTAAGGCCTAGGGCGTTCCCGGCACAGGACGATATAGGGCTAGGGCGTTAGGCCCTACGGCTTCAGATTCAGCATTGATGGAAGCTGCACGAAGATAGTAGCACGAAGAATGTGCAGGTGTTAATGCGAAACAACTGGGCTTCTTGGCCTTTCTGAAACATCATGACATGTTAAAACCCTTTGTATAAACACCGTATGACTCCTGGTGACATCCTCAAAACGTCCATATAAAAACCTCGGACACCCTTATAAGGCCGTATAACGCCCTTGTCAAACCGTGCACTCCGGAAGGTCGTGGGACCCTTAAAGCTTGGCCCGAAAACCCTGGGAGAATGAAACCAGACCGTAGGATTTCGGGTTTTGGGTTTGGGGCTTTGGGCCTTTTTGGTTCGGTGCTTATGGTTTAAGGTTCGGGGGCTTGGACTCTTGGGTTTTGGGGTTCCGGGGTTTAGGGCTTGCTGCTTTTCACGAACCGTGCAACTTCAGCCCTGAAAACCCGTAAAGCCTAAAACCCTGCCCTGGACCCCTGAACTCCCGAAACCCCTTTAAAGCTCTCCTTGCAGGAACCCTAAAACCCCCCTAAACCCTCGAAAAACCCAAAAGAACTCCGCAGCCCTGCGTGGACCTGAAACCCCAAAAACCTCCAAAAAGCCCAACCCTTAAACAAAATCCTAAACCTTGAAACCCCAAACCCTTCAACAAACTCCTAAACCCTCAAAGCCCAAAAACCACCGCAGCCCAAGCTTCGCAGGTTCACGAAGGCTGCCCGGATCTTCCCCGACAGGTGGTGGCTGTCGCCTTCGACGCTTCAGGCTGTCCGTTTTTGTGGGTTTACGTAAGGGTTTAGGGACTAGGGCTTTGGGGCAGGGGGGTTTTGGAGTAAGTAAGGGTTTAGGGTAGAGCAGGCTGCTTCGAGGAGTGGGAAAGGGTTATTCAGTTTCATTCGAGTTTCTATATGGGGGGCGAATGATTGTTATACACGTTCCTTCAAGGTTGTGGTTGGTGTTCTACTGTGGCAGATATTTTGACAGGGCTGGTATCAGCAGGTGTTGGGGGTTCAGGGCTTAAGGGTTTTAGGGTCTTTGGCCCGGGGGGTTAAGGGTCTAGGGCGCAAGGTCTGACAGTTTTGAGCAGCACCTGTAGGGATGTAACCAAATCCTCTACCCCAACCCCCAAGGCCTGAAATAGCACAACGGCTTTCAGCCAGATCCGAAGCCCAAACCCCGCACGCCTTCGAGTGCGAACTCTGGGTTCTTATGAAGGAACTTAATCGAAGTCACTGAACATTACCGATCAAGATGAAGCAAGACTTCTCGAACCGCCATGCTTTCCCTATTTTACCTGGGTAGGTTTCCTGAGAAATTGGTTCACGCAAATGCATAAAGGAAACACCATGTTGTTTGCTATAGCACCCAAATAAACTTGCATCGAAGTGGCGCTGTTGGATCTCTAGCGTTCCTCCGATTAAGAAGTGGCCGGCAATCGGCGGTCCGATTGTGAACGAGATACCTTTCTGGCTTGATTCGGCTTATGTGTTTAGGGTTTAGGGTTCAGGAAGATACCTCGGCGCACGGCTGCCGCAAGTGTTGCTACTTCGACTGCTGCTCTTAGTAGAGCCACAGTAAACTGTTCTGTAAATAGAACGAACATTAGAGTCAAAACATCAGACCAGTACTGTTAGAACTACCACTTGTACGCCGACGAGTACCGCTGCTGCTACTGCCACGGCCACTGAATACTGCCACTGCTACGGCTAGCGCTAGCGCCAGTGCTACGGCTACGGTTACTGCTACTGCTTCTGCTACTGCTTATGCTCCTCCTCCTCCTCCTACCACTACTACTACCACTGCTACTGCTACCACTACTGCTACTGCTACTGCTACTACTACTACTGCTACTACTACTACTACTACTACTACTACTACTACTACTACTACTACTACTACTGCTACTGCTACTGCTACTACTGCTACTAGCTACTGCTACTGCTACTGCTACTGCTACTGCTACTGCTTTACTACAACGACGACGGCGACGACCACCGCCACCACCACCACTACCACCCCGACCACCCCTGCCACCGTTACCACCCCTGCCACCGCCACTGCGGCGACGACGAAGACGGCTACGACACAACGGTAAATGTTGTGAATGATGTGACAAACCAACATTGCAATCAAGAGCTTGAGATTGGGGTTTAGACGGGTTTAGAGTTGTTGGTGTCGGACGTTTTTGAGCTCGGGGAGGTTCAGGATAGGCGTCGTGTAAGGCAAATATGAGGGCTTGTAAACCGCCCTCCTACGAAACCAAAAGTCAGGCTCTTTTTGGGTTGTTGAACACTCCGTGGCTTTGGGCCTCATGCCCGGGGAGGCCTTTGAGGTTCTGGCTTGGGCTACAACATCGTAAAATACATTCTTCGGGCTTTAGAAATAATAATCTAAACCCCTAAACCCTACACCTCGACCGGAAACCCTAAACCGAAACGTTCAACCCTAAACCCTACTTCCTACATCCCATTCCTAATCCCGGAACCCTGAACCCCAAACCTTACCTGGCCTGAGGGTCCATGAACAACGGTAACTTCCGACACGCTGGCGTTCACACCATCACCTCGTCGGCTTTGAGCATTTATCCCTGTTATCAGTGGTAACGGTCTCGGGTTTAGTGGTAATTATCATTGCTGTTCATCTTCTGAGCTACTTTACCACTCTTTCCATGCCTCGAGAAGTATCCTTGAAGACACCAGGTTTCGGCTGCACCTCAAAGACATGTTCCAAGCTTTAGCCCCCCATCGTCGAAGCGCGCAACACCTGATGAATCCCAACGACAGCCTGCGAGGGTGTTGGCCTTCAGGGCTGGCTAGCTTTTGATACTGTACGACTATCATTGCTTTGTTATATGGCTATCATCGCTACGGTAGTCTACCATGAGCCCCTTGGGGTTTCGCTATGTGGCCGGGGTGTTGCGGCGTTGCGAAATTGCGGCCCTGACGCCAGGCAAGACGGATGGCTTCAGGCATCGAAAGGGCTGGGTCGGTGCTTGCCCTAAACCCGAAACCGTAAACTCCTAAATCCCAAACCCTAAACCCGAAACCCTATCCACCCCCAAACCCTGAACCCGAAACTTTAAACTCTAAACCCTAAACGCCTAAACCCTAAAAACCCTAAACCCTACAAACCAAACAAGCATGAAAACATAATCGATCAAAATCCTGGGCCCGAAGCCCGGAGATGGCAGCTAGGGTTGGTTTGGCATGCCTTGAGTAGAAGGACTTTGGGTTTAGGGCTTTGGGCTTCGGGTTTTGGGGGAGTTTAAGGGGTTCAGGAATCGAGTCTCAATGCTTCTAGAAGGTTTAGGAAACAGGGGCAACATGCTCCAGAGTCAAGATCTCTGATGTATTCAGACACCACTGGACCATGCCAGGCACCACTGCGAGGGAAGCTCAAAACGTAACCGCGGCACTGCCCAGGAATCCAGTGCCCTCGTGTTTGTCCTTATCCTCAGCTGACAAAGAAAGGCTTTTGAAACTGTGGAAGTGGAACCTTCCAAGGTTTAGGGTCATGAAAGATGACGAATATCAGCGAGATACTCTTCTTCCTATGACACTCTCATTCTGGATACCCTCGGACAAATCATAGTGATGCTTGTCTACCACCCGGCGCTCAGGAATGTTACTCGTACTTATTCAGGGCCTTTTGTTCGCTCCATGAGAAACGGGTAGTGCTGTTGTCGAATGGGGCGATGTTTGCATCGTGGATGAGTTCTTGCGCTTAACTCTCGTTGTGCACATGTGGAGACGTAGTGATTCGACAACGTGCAGAAACATTGAGACGTTGTCTGCCAACCTGGCAACTTCAGCATAGGAACTTGAAAAGCAGAAGGTCTCGCGGCCGAAGTGGCGAAGCTATGGAACTGGTAAGTGATGCTCTCCTTGGTCAAGTTGGTCACGTTCGCGCCGCCTCGGACCAGTGACACTAATGACACCGACAATGCGCCAATGCTAATGAAAAATGCGAATGTCACGCATGAGACGAACAGTACGACTAAGACGAACAAGACTGATAAGACAAATAAAACGAATGAGGTGTCACAAGAATATACTGCCCCGCCAGCTGCGACCGGGCCGAGACGGACGACGCGCAGCGGCTAAATTTTAGGCTAGGGTTTTGAGGTTTCTGTATCAAACAATCCTTTGGGGGGACCATTACGGGATACTAAGTATTCCCACCCCCAAAAGTCCGTACTTCAGCCGTGGCGACTGAGACGGCGCTGGCCGGCCCCCCGAAATCGCAGGTGCTGGTGTTGGCCGAGCAGATGCAGCACCCCAGCCTGTCATAAGTAGTTGTAGTCGTCGTACTAGTAGTAGTCGCCGTAGGAGTAGGAGTCAGAGTAGAAGTAGCGGTAGCAGTATCGGTAGCGGTAGCAGCAGCAGCCGCAGCAGCATCAGCATTAGAAGCAATAGCAGTAGCAGCTACTAGTATTTGGATAGCTGGTTTCCTGTCGCGGGTGTTGGTAAAAGTGTCCAAGATAAGGCACATTCTCGTATTCACAGAAGTACTAGTCGTGCTAGTCGCGCGAGTACTATTAGTAGTACTAGAAGTATCGGCTGTTTTTGTAAGAGGAGTAGGAGGAAGAGGACGTCGAGGAGTTGTAGGAGGAGGAACAGGAGCAGGAGGACTAGTGGTCGGCATCGTCGGCATTGAAACTTGGTTGTTCCTGCTATTGGTGCTGCTCTTGACTCCTCCTCCTTGTCCTCCTCCTCCTCCTCCGCCTTCGTTGTTGCAGCAGGCTTCGAATATCACGTGAGCCCGATGCAGCCTCAATGGTCTGGTCAGTCTACGCGGAACCAAACCATTCGCCGAGTGAGTTCGAGAAGCAGCCTTCGCCTGAATGTGATCCAATAGAAATTCTTTGTCTGAGTGGACCCTTAATGGGGACCCCTACCCTATAGTTGGCTATATAATGGGTGTATAATAGCTATATTAAGGGTATGAACCGATGTACCGGCATGCCTAGGCAACTACTCCTGCTGCACTCATCTGTCAAGCTAGTCGTCTGACATTCTGCATCTGGAGTCTACTACAGCAGACCCGAAACAAACCTCGGCGGGCTCCAACCCGGCATCTGAAAATTACTCTCCCTGCCGCCCTGAACCCAGGGTCCTAAACTCTAAACCCCTAAACCCTATAAACCCTGAAGCCCCAAACCCGGAACCCTTAAACCTAAGCTAAAATCGACCTCCCCGGCCGGACCTGTTCGCGAGGGGTGAGGCGTGGAGGCGCCAGGCCTGCAGGTGAAGGCCTAGCGCCTTTCCCTCCTAATCTGAACCCTAAACCCTAAACCCTGTAAGGTGATTCAATTGGGCAGTCTTGGGTTATGTTACAGTAAAATCATATCGAAGAACCCTAAGGAACGCAAACTAGTGTTTTTACAAGCCTCTCTATTAGGGTTTTCTACAGAGGGTTCGTCATGTACTACAAAGGCTGCTGATGGACTTGAGTTTTCTATGAAGGGTCTCTAGATCAGTGTTGAAAGGGCGATTATAAATACTAACAGGGCTGCTGTGCGCGGGCTTAGTTGGAAGCAGGGAGGGTGCTTCTGTCGGCAGCCCTATTTTTCAGAGAGGATATAGGAGGGGTCGCACTTCGGGGACCCTGCTTGGGTCCGTATAACAAGGCATACTCTTTCGAAAGCAGACCTAGTATAGAAAACTACCCCAACACCACCCTAAACTCGCCATGAAATCTTAAGCCCTAAACCCCGCCTCTGAATACCATGAAAGCCAAAAACCCTGAACCCTAAACCCCCCATAGTAACCCTGATAGTAGCCCTGACACTGGCCCCTGTCAAGCCCTTTCAGGAACCCAGCACGAAGTTCTACAAAATACCTTCTTAGCCTCTGCCTCCTGTGGGAAGATCCTAGGATCCCTGCTCCCACAAACCGAGGCCTCACAACCCTTTTGAATCCTACGCCTGGGCAGTTTTTATAGATGAGACTGAGATTGCAGACAACCCCCTTGAAAGCCTCATTGCTTCATGACAAACTAGTCAAAGCCATGGGAAGAAGAGCACGTGAGAAAACCATCTTTCTCTATCCCCCTCTCCCTCTCGTTCTTTCTCCCTCCATCTCCCTCCCTCCCTACCTCTCTCTCTCTCTCTCTCCCTCTTTCTTTGTTCTCTCTCCATCCATCAATCGATGCAGCTATCCGTGCATGCATATCTATCGATACCGCTCTGCTCGCTGCCGGGTGGCTTTCCAGACTTTCGCGCACAAGATTCTTGAAGTTCCCAGACTTGGCAACAGCGAATCTCGACTTACACGGCAGGATCGGAAAGTTACGGCTAAATGCTGGTGCGCTTAGCTGGCTTTTCAGTTGAAAAGCAGTCCTGTGATGAGGGATCCTCCGGCGGATTTACTGTCGAAGAAACGTGCCTTTTCTGTATGACAGCATACAGGGACGATAAGGGGACGGAATAACCAACTATTGAGACCCCTACATTGATGTTTCTGCAGAAGACCAACATCCGCATGGGCGACTTCTCCACATCAACGGCTGAATGGAATGGGGGGGTTAGGGGGGCTTGGATTTCAGGACCATCTTTTAAAAAAGCTGAACCCCTGGAAACTAAACCCTACAAGCAAACCCTTAAAACCTAAACTCCAACCCTGCGGCCCCAAAGCTTCGGAAAGAGGCCTCAAGTCACGGGACTTCGAAGGCTTAGCAGGGCTGAAATGGATAGCGAAAGGTAATACAACAAAACTAAGAGAATAACCGTGAACGGTACTAACTGTAACCGTTCGACATCAAGGAGGAGTGGAAGAAGCAGAAGGAGAAGAAGAAGTGAAGCGTCTCTGCTGACAATACAAAGGGGTGTTTGACCGAGCCCCCTGCGGCGGCCGCCTGCTGAAAGCTCGCGCTGGCGAGGAATTCCTTGACCTCGAAGCTGTCAAAGACTGCAGCTTCGGGCTAAAGCTCTTCGCCTTGGGTTTCAATATAGAATCCTAGAGTCTTGCGTTCAGGAGTTGAGGTTCGTTCCAGTGTGTGTCAGGTTTAGGTTCGAGGGTTTGGGATTCAGAGCTGTCAGAGCAGGTGTGGGGATTAAGGCCGCAAACCAAATGCCCTACCCACCAACCCCACAGACCTCAATGCTAGACTGCTAGACCCTCAGAGTTCAATGCAGCCTCCAGTGGTCGCAAAACCCTAAACCCCGATACCCTCAGCCCACAATCCAAAACCTTGTAGACCCCTTGGTGGGCACCCCAAAGGAATCCTTTGAAGAACCCCTCACCTAAATCCTAAACCCTTAAACCCCTAAACCCTTAAACCCCTAAACCCTTAAACCCCTAAACCCCTAAACCCCTAAACCCTTAAACCCCTAAACCCTAAACCCTTAAACCCCTAAACCCCTAAACCCTAAACCTGTCAGACTGTGGCGGCCTGCGGGGGCCCAAGGCACTCGGGGCTCAAGGGGTCTTGGCTTCGGGATTGAAGGTTTAAAGTTCAGGGTGTCGGGTTTAGATGGGGGTTTCCGAAAATAGGGGTACCTTATTTTGGGGTCCTTATATTAGGGATCCTATTTAGGGTACTAGATCAGGGTCCCCTATTTTCAGAAACTCCCAGATAGAGTTCATGGTAAGTAAAGGGCTCCGGGTCTCTGGCCAGCTCGGCACCCAATAAACAAAGCAACCCTAACCCTACAGTCGTCTACCGAGAAAACCTTCTTTCAACCGAGGTGCCGTCGCTCCGATCGGGGCCGCCTTGAGTCCTGCCTCAAGCAGGGTTTCAGAAATCTTTCACGCGGGTTGCCTGCAAGGGTTTTGCGCTTTAGCAGCGTGCTACAGCTCTTGTAGCGTTGGATCAGATTCTAGGGCTCGAGAGAAAGAGGAGCGATGCGTTTGGCTACTGTCGGTACGTTTGGACCAGGGGTCGGGGAATTGTGGGGTACAAGGTCCAAGGTGTGAGGGTTTCGGGCCCTCGAGTTTTGAGAGTTAAACCCGAAGCCCCAGTTTCCTAAACCCTAAACCCCTAAACCCTAAACCCCCTAACCCCCTAACCCCTAAACTGCCTTTTGCTTCAAGGTTTTCGGTTTAGGAGGTCATGGCTGTAGGGCTGCCCTCCCTACAAAGGCCTTTCCCAAGAACTGAAGCCAAGAAAGGCCTGGATCCTGAAAACCTCAACTGCCACCCAAATGCCGAAACACCCGAAGACCGCAAAAGTAGTGAAGTCCCTGATGCCGCTGCGCACTGAAGCTCATCAACACAAAGAGGGTTCCCGATACGACTTTATCACCTTAAACCCTTGAACGCAAAACTCAAGACCCTAAATCCCAAACTCCGGCTCTCAAGAGCTGGGGCACCTGCGGCCCTCTTGGGCTTAGGGTTGTTGGAGAGCCCTCAGCCCTAAAGCCTAATCCACTCCTGGCAACCCAATGAACCCGAAAGCCCAGGACGGCCCTTGACCCTAAACTCCGCAGAAAACCCAAGCTCTGAACTCTTATGAATGCCCCTAAACCCTAAACCCTAAACCGAAGCTCCTGAAGCCTAACCTGCTGAAACCCCAAGCCTCGCTTCATGACAGAAACCTTATGGAGTTCCAGTAAAGGCTCCTATAAGGGGACTAGAATGGGGTTCCCTTCAAGGGCTCCAAAAAAGTGGTCAAAAAAGGGTTCCTATGAGGGTTCGTTTATGGGCCTGAACCGTATGAGAGTCTCAAACCCTACAGCGCTATAACCCTCTTACAGCCTCCGCCACACGGGGCACGGCGAAGAGAAGTGCAAGCGTCCACCACATGGCCTTAGGCTTCGGGCCCAACAACTTGGCTTCAAGTCGTAAAATTTAAGAGTTGAGGGCTCAGGTGCTCTGGATTCAAGGTTTAAGGTTCCATGTCGAGTTCATGCAGTGCAGAGGAACAGTGTTACAGAGTCCTACCACCTCTTGAGGCCCTGCCATGGCCTCGCCGCACCGGAATCCGAAACTCGAAACCTGACCTTAGCGACTCCAACTCTGGCTCTATGCCGGTGAGAAGCGAAGCGACTGGGCAGCCGACTCTGTGCTCTGCAGCGGGCAACGGGCGGACTGAAGTCCAATGGCCCGGAATTTAAGAGATTTTAACGCAGCGGGGGTCGCAACCAAAGGACGCGCGGGAGGCAAGTCTACGACGAGATGCCAGAGCCCTAAATCGGCATATGGAGAATCATCCCAAGATGCAACCATTCGTCAGCATCGACTAGCCATGCGGTTCCTAGAGTCCGTATGCTCCCACGCAGCCCCCTAAATTTACCAGCTAAGCCAAAAGCTGCGGCGGTGCGCTGTGCCCGAACTGAGAGATTTTAGGCCCCTCGGGCGCGGCTCTGAGCTCGGAGTGTAGTCGAGGCCTTTCTGCTTAGGGCTCTTCGTCTTGAAACTGGATGATGCATATTCAGGGTTTAGTAGCGGCGTTTGGGGACTGTCGGGTTTAAGGAGGTTAGGGGACTTTCGGGTTTACGGATGCGTGTGTTGGATTTAAGGTCTAGGGACTTTGGCGTTCGGGGTCCCGGTACAAGCCCCTCGTCGCAGGATCTGCCTTGGGAAGTTCATAGGCCAGACGATTCCAGCCGCGGTTTAGGGTCTAGGGTTACTCTTCTTACCTTTGGTTAAAAGAGAATGGAAGAATGGTAGTATTAGTAGTTAGAATTGGACCCCATTCCTCCATTTCCTACCAACCAAAGGTAAGTCTTGCCACCATAAAGATCTGCTGGAAGTAGTTCTAATCCTAAACCCTAAACCCTAAACCCTAAACCCTAAACCTAAGACTGACCCAAGCCCGCTCAAGCTGAGGCTGCCTGGCAGAGTCGGCCAAGGGTGCCAGAACGAACCCGAACCCCAAACCTTAAACCGTAAGCCGAGACCCGTGGGGGTTCGTAGGGTTCCTTGAAAGGGATCTATAAGGGTTACCATAAGGGATACTATAAGGGTACTATAATATGGGTGAAGCCGAAGTCTTAAAGAACCCTTTCTCCACTGCAAACTGGAAAACTTGATGACCTCGGAACCCGTGCCCACAGCATCACTCTTAATCCCGAAAACCCTCAAACCTGCACAAACCTACCAAGACCCTCCGAAAGACACTGCCAGACAGAACTCAGAAGGAAGTATAGCACCCTACCGCCTCCCCCCTACCCCCATAAGGGTCCCTGTGATGAATCAACTGCCTCCATCCTTGCCCTTGAAGCGGCTCGTGGTTCGAAGCGAAGCAGCTCTTTGGGCATAGACCTCGAGTTGAAAGCGTCACGATCACGGCTAAGGTCCACTTGGACCCTCGCAGTCGTCTTGGCTGCCTGAAACTACGCACCAAAGTTCGTGCAGGATGCAACACCCGTCATCCCAGAAAGCCACGCCACAAAACCAGGATGTCGGGGGGGCTACCGCTTCAGGTTCATAATACGGTTCGTGCATTTTGCATCATGGCTCCGGGATCTTAGAGAGCGCAGGCCCTAAACCCCGAACGCTGAACCCGAAACCCTGAACCAAAAAACCCTAAACTGCTAAACCCTTAACCCCAAACAAACCCTAACCCCGAAACCCCTGAAGCCCTAAACCCCTAAAACCCCTAAAACCCCTAAAACCCCAAAACCCCAAAACCCCTAAAACCCCTAAAACCCTAAAACCCTAAAATCCTAAACCCCTAAAACCCGAAAACCCCAAGCCAGAAAACATGGTCCCGCTGAAGGCCCCACCTCGCGCGCGCGGCTGCCTTCTTCGGCCCGGTTGGCCTCAACGGCCAAACCGTAAACCCGAACTTTTTGCCTCGATAACTTGAGCAGGTTTTAAGGGTTTAGGATGGTTTAAGGTTTAGGGTTTAAGGTTTAGGGTTTAGGGTTTCAGGTTTAGAGAAGGGTTTGGGGTTTCTAGAAGTATAGTTACAAGAAGGAACCCTAAGAAACGCGCTTGAGGGCCTCGGGGATTGGAAAAACAGTAAACCCTTTAAACTTTAAACCCTCGAGCCTCAACTTAAACCCCAAACCCTACATTCTAAATCTTTAAACCTTAAACCCTGAACCGTGGAAAGTTCAAGAAGTTTCAAGGCTTCCTAAACCCTAAACCCTAAACCGCCACGAGGCGCCGGGTAACTTAAAACCCGGGGCCAGCGTCTCCCAGTTCGGGTTTAAGGGTTTAGGGGTTTAGGGTTTAGGGGTTTAGGGTTTAGGGTTTAGGGTTTAGGGGTTTAGGGTTTAGGGGTTTAGGGGTTAGGGTTTAGGGGTTTAGGGTTTAGGGGTTTAGGGTTTAGGGTTTAGGGTTTCGGAGCTTTAAGGAATAGGTCCTCGGGCTGAAAGCTTAAAGGACTAGTGCCTAGGGTGTCTTTTAAGTGCAGTGGCTCTTTCTCCGCAGCACTGGGTCCAAAGCCCACCCTTCTAGGCAATGTGCACTGAACATGTGGGGAAAAATATCCGAAAAGGGTTTAGGGTTTGGGGCTTGGGGTTTGTTAAGCGCTGAAGGTTCGGGGTTGTATTGGGATGGAGTTGACAGCAGTCGTGTCTTGGCTTGGTCTTGGAGGTAAACCTGGGGGTCTGAACACTTGGAGTAGGGTGCTTTAAAGGACACCATACTCAAAAAGGCACCCCTCGGAATACCCTTGGTAGCTACTCGGGCCGTTTTATCCATTGCGTTTTGGGTTGCTGAAAATGACAAGCCCTGAGCCGCCCACAAAGATCCATCCTGACTGGCCTAAACCCTAAACCCTTGTAGAGCCCTTTAAAGGAGCGCTTATAGCACTCTTATAGATCCCCTTTCAAGGAACCCCAAAACCCCCTAAAACCCTAAAACCCTTGCAGCTACCAGGAGCCTCCCTCGCTGCCTCCGCTGCCTCCTGGTGGCGAGGCATGCAGGGTTTAGGGTTTATAAGGGTTTAGGGGTTTAGGGTTTAGGTCTTCGGTCAGGACCCGCAACGCTGAACTCTGAACCTCGTCGGGGGCTTTGGGAATCAGAGGTGAGCACCAACATCGAACTGAACCCTGAACCCTGTCAACCCTAAACGGCCCTAACCCCCAAACTCCAAAGCCTGCACATTGGGTTCACAGGGCGGGGATCCTTCGGCCTGATTTCTGGCTCCGATAGGGTGGAAGCTTGGCCTTGAAGGGGGGGGGGGTTCAGTTTGAGACGGCTGGGCACTAATGACGACCCGGTACAAGACCCGCTAAACCCGAGAAAAACACACTTACATACCGAGAGTAATAAGTAAGTAGGATTAAGATATCGACCGCTGCATGTCCATATACTACACCCGGTTCACAGTCGACTTACAAACCAAGTAGACTTAAGAGATTAGCCGCTGTACGTCCATATACTGCACCCGAATTACAGTCGACTTACAAACCAGGCGTTGTAAACTAGTACGACTAACATGTTAACCAGTATTGAAACACCCAAAATGAAGCTGACCCCTTAAACCCAGCCGGGACATCAAAACAAACACTGCCAAGGAGCCTCGACCCTAAACCCCTAAATCCTGAACCCTTAAACCCGAAACCTTAAAATCCTAAACCCTTAAACTCTGAATCCTAAACCCTAAACCGTTAAACCCCGAAACCCTCAAGCCTCAAACCCTGAAACCCTAATTCCTTAGCCCTTAAACTCCGAACCCTAAAGTTTCCGAAATTCCCACCCCAACTCCTAGAAACAAACAAAATCCCCTGGGGTAGCCTCGGAGCAGCGATTCTGGCAGGAGACGACGCCACTCCACTCATCCTCGGGGCGGCGCTGGCACTCGATGTCTCTTCAAGAGGGTCTAGAGTTTAGGGTTTTAGGGTTGGGATTGTATGAGGGTTGAGGGTTTAGGGTTGGGATTGTATGAGGGTTTAGGGTTTAGGGGTTGGGGCTTTGTGTGGGTTTTGCTTGGGCGTTGAGGGCTTTATGGTTTGATTAGGGCTCTACACGGGTTTAGAGGGTTCTTATGAGAGTTCTATTGTGTCTTCTGCGCTCTGCTCGTGTTTCATGCGGATTTTCTTATGGCTTATGGGGTTCATGAGGGATGTGTACAGTTGAGTAATTAGCATATTGGCCAGAGGCTTCGCTTTTTAGCTGGGGCTTCGCGGCTTCTAGTTCAGGGTTCAAGGAGGAAGACCAGCAACAAACGACAAGATTGCAGGACGCGTCCAGCATCCAGGCAGGATTGAAAATTTCTCGCAAGCCAATGAGATCGGATACAAGTGCCGCCCGGTTTCGGGCAAGAGTCTGGAAGTCAAGATGAGGTGGAGATCCTGCTTGTGCGCCCACGACGTCGACCCATCAGGCAATTCCAGGAGCGCTCGGTCACCGCGAATTTCCCTCACCGTGACGTCCGGCGGCAGATGTGCTTTGCACAGCGCCGCCGGCGAGGGCCAGCTCTTGGTGGTCGGAACGACGGCCCTGTGTCCCGCACTGGCGGCGGCGTGTCCTGAGGGCCTCAGCCCATGTGATTCGGTATGTCGGCCAAACGAAGCCGTGGACAAGGATGGAAACACCTGATCGCCTGACTTCAAGCACGATACACTAGGCCAATCCACCTAACATCCTAGCAAAACCGCATTCAAGCCGTTGGACGACCATAAACCCTCATGAACTTGTGGAAACCGTGTAGAACCCGTTTACAGAACTAGCATGCAACTACCAAGCAAAGCTTTGATCTTGAGTCCTGAGGACGAGTCCTCTTTGCTTTGGTACCCAGTACAGACTTGATAGGCTCTCCATAATCGGGCTGGAGGCTCAGCAAGCAATCCACAAATTATGATCTGCTCCAGTGTGCTCGTGGGTTGGTGGAGGGCTTTGTAGCTGGA